GTGGTCGTGGGTTCGAGCCCCACATTGGGCGAGAATGTCCCGTATGTGTGTGAAAGGGACATCAGTAGACCAGTGCCCTGCACCTAATGTAACTATTATGCAGGCTTAGACATTCATTCATTCCTGACCCCCTTCTCATAATATGTCCTCGTCATGGTGCTGAATTTCTGACTTGTATTCCTGCTGGATGGGATGGGATATGATGGGATGCCTGATTCCAGAATTGCGAATTAGCCCACAGCTACTTGCATTATAATTATCAGTCCATCCATGCTTTATCAGTATGCGAAAACCCAAACTCTATAACACCCTTTTGCCTGCTCTATCTCTTGTTTTTATGGCACCGGAGAGTTTGCCAGCTTTTTCCTATAGCTAGGCCAACACGATTAGCAAAAGCCTCAGGTGGGGACCCTGGATCCAGCTAGCATGACTGCACCTACCCATCCATCCTAACACCCTATAGCTAAACACCCTAAACACCCTAACACCCTAAAAACACGAGAAGAACAAGTGTAGGTAGGAGTACACATCAACCAAGCCGGGATCCGATCTACCTGGATCGAACAGGCGACCTAAGGATATCAGCATCGCATCTTTCGATTACAGTCCTTCGCTCTTCCAGCTGAGCTAAGATCGGGAGCATGGTGCTCAACGCGTATCGAGACCAGGTTTCGATCCTGGGACCTCGGGGTTATGAGCCCCGCACGCTTCCGCTGCGCCATCTCGAGTCTCATGTGCACACCTACCTTCAACTCTCGCCAGAACTCGTGGATCGTGGATGCCCGACAAGCAGCTCCAACCAAACCGAGTAGAGCCTTTGCCCTAAGGATGAACCGCGGCGCGCCGCGAAGTGGACCGTAGCTTCGACTCCCAGGCCAGGTATGGGTGTGTGGTGCGTAAGGTGCTGTGTGGTGCGTAGGTGAGAACGGTAATAATGTGGGGAAGCAGTGGCGAGGACTCAGTTACATTACATCTGTGATGGAGGGTGGCTTAGTAGCAAGCCACAGCCAGCAGTGCCGTAGCAGAAGGTCATTCTCAAGGTTCACGTCTGGCATCCAACAGCAACGACCCATAACAACAATCGATGAGGGGCCCTGATAGCAGCACGGCACAAGGAATGTCCGCGGATTGTGAGCGGTGAAGTGAATAATGCCGCCTAGGCTCGCATCACACTAATTGCATGAAATCACCGCGGTGGCAGCATCGTCAGCAGCGGAGTAACAGCAGTCTGCGCGGACGATCCTGCATTTGATGGTCGTCATGAGCAGAACCCAGCTATTGCCACGCCCTGGACGCATGCTTGTGTTCTCGTGTTCTAGTGCCGTTGCATTCTCACGTCTGGGCGGGTGCCTGTCCTCACCGCCTCACTGTAGTGCATACATGGGGCCGTGTCGCATCCCCATGATGCATGAGTACAGTCCCAGTCTGTCACGGCCCCAGTTGTCGCATCCTCACACCTCACATCTTTGTTGCATCCTCACACTTCACATCCCCACCATACATCCTTGTCACATACATGTCTCACCGTCACACCTCACATCTCACATCCTTGCGTTCGGCAAATATTTGCAGTACTACACGTACGGTTCCATGCGGTCATACATTCATGTGCACACACGTTGTGTGTACTCGCGGTCGCATGCCCTGGTGCTTCACATTCACGGGTGTATGGTGCTTTGTGTACGGCATGTGCGGCTGAAACCGCATATTAGGAATGTGTAGTATAGCAGCACCGGAGCGTTGCATTGCAAAAGTCAGCCATCATGCAGGGCACTGCGAAGAGATGCAGTTCCTCACCGCGGGCCGCCATGTAACAGATGCAGATGTGGAACACGGTGCCACAGAAGCAGTCGGGGTTGCTCTGCCGCTTGTCGCCAGGTTTGAAACCAAAAAGGATGTCCATAAAGGCGAGCTTAACCGTGTTGAGGAGTGCTTGGCTGGTGTAGGGGTTGTTTCGCACCCGCCACCACTTGTCCATGACACGCTTTTCCACAACGGAGCACCATCCTCACCAAATTCCAGAAACTGCCCAGCGGCCACGACTGCAGCCGCACTGTGCAAGTCGGCGGGGTTGACATTAAACATGAGGATTGGCAGCCCGGTTGCGGTGGCTACACCACGTAGATTGGCGTGCATGTTGTGGTAATATGCATCTGTCATGTCGATGCGTGCGACTGTTCGCCGAAGAGAGGTGACGAGGGTGTGCACGAGAGGTGACATGTCTTGGAGCAGGTGGCGGCGATCCGGGTGCATCTTCGGCAATGCCAGGATGTCCGCCATCGCTTTGACAGCCTCTCGCGGGATGGCGCCCACCGTGTCGATGTCCTGCTGGCAGCACTTCACTGTAACCCATGTCTGCACTTTTGCGTCCTCCATGTTGAGCACATCCACCATGCGGGCGAGCATGAGGAGGTTGCCGCTGAGCTGCTGCTGTGGCACACGCGTAGACACATGCTGGAAGAAGGTCCGGTTGCTCATACCCAGGGGACGGAGGCCGCCCTTTGTGTACAGAAATGCGGTGGGGAAGTTGCTGGCAAGCACATCTTCCCGGGAGTAGTCCAGGATCTGCAGCAGGGCGGAGGCATAGAGCAGGGAGCATGCATTGGGCAGGTCGATTGTGATATGCATATCAGTGAGGAGGCACAAGCCTTATGCGGGTATGTCATGCACGAGAGTAGCAGCGCATCAGGGAATACACTTCACCCACCCATAACCAGCTTACCTTAGAACCACGGCCCCCAGACGCAAAGACCAGCCGGTGTTCCGCTGTCAGCTCACGGTGTAGCTCCACCGGGTTTCGTGCATCATCACCTAATCCCGGCACAGTTGTGTCAGGGACAACAGGCACCAGAACTCCGAGCTCCTCGAGACCAGCATCCTCCGGTGTGTTGTCCGCTTGTGACACTCTGGGTCCATTGCCTGCCACTCCTTCATCGCTTGGTCATCGATATGCCTCTCGGAGGTGAGGTTGCTGAGGTAGTTGACCCAGGCCACAATATTAGCTGCTCGGATGGACAACACCTTGGTGCTCTTGAGCTTTTCTAGCAGCTCCTCCTTGCTGCTGACGACATCCATGCAGAGGACGGTGATGTTCTCCGGCAACGACACAGCAGAGCATGGGATGGTGTCCACCCACTGATCGAGTGATGGGTTCGCCATGGCTATCTTGTGCATTGTGACGGTGATGGGCTGCAAGTCAGGCGGCCGGTTCTTAACCTTAAGCGTGTAGATCTGCTGCTGCACATGGCCCAGCCCCAGTATGTTGGCTTCCAGCACGGTAGGCCACTCCAGATGCTGCCCATCCTGATTGATTTCCGGCACGTCTCCACCATCATAGCGTGTGAGAGCAGCCTCCGGGATGCGTCCGCCTGGATGCGGAGGCAGCAGCCACAGGCAGGGCAGACCAGCCAGAATAACCAGTGCGGTTGTGTGCGTGCATGCATGAACACCCAGCACACATGATCGGCAACGAAAGCACCGCATGCAAATTCTCATGAAATGCGTATGTCCCAGCAGCCTACCCCAGAACCGGCCACAACGAACAACATCCCACAGGAAAGCAGCCGCCAAAACCCATCAAATACATATGTTGCCACACATTCGTTCCCCCGACCCAGTGTTTAGTGCTTACATTCCAAGGCATGAATGCAGTCATTGCACATCATGATGATGTCGTCGCCAGCCTCGTTGGTGTGCACTGTACAATTCTCCCCAGAGCGCTCCACATGCATGCAGTACAGCACTAGCCACACACCCAGAGCAGTGGGATCCGGCCGTGGCTCCATGCCAAGGTTGTGGCGGCCACGAAGGGAGCATCCATTCCTCATGCTGGCCGTCCGCGTCTTGTGGCCGGGTCGCATCCACTTCTGCTTCTTCATCGGAAAGAATAGACTCCTGCTCGTCGTCAATACCATCCGTCTCACACCGACGCTGCCGTGGCAGACTAGATGGGCCCGCCTCATGCGGCGGAAAGTCCTCCGGGAAGCCGTATGCTCCAGTGTTGCCCAAATGGTCCCGCACCTGTTGCAACGAACTGCACTGCTGGGTGGGCTGGTGGTGCTCTTGGTCATCCGAACCACCAGAGTACCCTGTCGTACCAGGACGCTTGGTGAGCCCTATCTTCTCCGTAGAATGCCCATTGAGCCACGTCTTTTTGGAAGCCCCACAGCAAAGCTGGCTCAGGCAGTGGTGGTGTTCTGCCCCCTGGTGCGGCTGCCACTGGTAGCCATGTGAAGACTTGAGCTGGACGCGCCACTGCCAGCGTCCTCCAAACATCTGCACGCAACTGGTGCACGTTGGGGATGTCAACAAACCAGTAGCCGTGTGCCTGTACCGCAGACTTCATCTCGCTGCAGCAGGCGCAGACACATGATGGCATGTTGTGTTTGACAGCGGCATCAAGCTGTTCGGTGACTCGGATCTGTTCTGCTAGAGAAACAGTGGGCAGAGGCTGACCCACAGGAACATCTTGCACATGTTCCGGCCATGAAGCTATACTGCTGTCTAACCAGGCACCCATACGAGGCTTGGTGGGGTTTGTCGGCCGCCTGAACAGCCAGAAGGCAGCATCCAAAACTGCCTCCACAAGGATACCCCTGCTGCGGTGGGTGCATTGTGGTGTGTGCTCCTCAGATGACTTTTGCCAAATCGCATGGGCTTGACGCTTCCAAGCTGCGTCCACTGTTTGGTCTGCCGCCACTTGCTCAGGCGTTCGGTTGGCTCGCGCCTCCGACCACCGCGCCCACCAAGCAGTAGCTGCTGCTCGGTCCGCCACCACTTGCTCAGGTGTCCGGTTGGCTCGTGCATCTGCCCATCACGCTGCAGCTGCTGCTCGATCCACCGCCACTTGCTCAGGCGTCCGGTTGGCTCGCGCCTGCACCTTTCTGGTTGCATCCGCACTGGACAGCTGGGGTGTCGGGGGGAAGGTGTGGCTTGAGTCCGGCCCGTCAAGCTCAGAAGCCACAAGCCTCCACCTGTGATGTCAGGAAGAGGATTACTAGTCTACCGCCCATGCAGGAGATGGAGCAACATCACGGGCACCAGTCCCAACCAGGACTCCTTACCGGAACCAGAATTGTCCATAGAAATGGCCGGTCAGACTGATGTCGCGACAGGTTATCCTCCTATCCTCAAGAAATGCAGTTGAGGGCCAATGGAACACAGTATATCGATACAATATGGATGTATGTTGCGCAGTACCGCTGTTTGGTAGAATTGTATCCTGAATCCGTATGATAAATTTTATCCTGGATCCGTTTGACAAAAATAATAAATGCACTCGAGGGCCAATGGCACACATTACTTCTATACAATAACTGTGCTGCGCAGCATCACTGGTTGATAGAATGTATTCTGAATCCGTATGATTCTATAGAATTTCTGCGACTGAATTTATCCCGGGGAACGTTGCGGTGTGCGCGACTTCACGTCATTTCGTGGCGAAGCCATTGTAGTCTAGTTTTCCACTGCAAGTCCTGTCCCACAGTGGAACTACGTGGAACTACCCACAGCCACGCCCAGGCGTCCCCGGTTATCCTGATATTTTGTGATAAACGTTTAACCTTGCAAGTTCATGTCAAACAACACAACTACGCGCGTCTGTTGTTCGTTACCCACCACCGTGCCCAGTCGTCCCCATGGCCTGACGGCCCAGTATCCGTGTGTCCCCGCCCACATGTTCACGGTACACATGCACGCGTCCAAGCTTCATGCACACGCCCATGTTACATCCTCATGTCCCGCGTCCACGCGTCCATGCTACATCCACGTGTGGCTACATCCACGGTGCCACCGTCCCATGCACCCACATGCCCACACGCTCACGCGTCCATGTGCCCTTGCATCCTCGCGTCCTCACGTCCTGGTGTCCTCGTGTCCTAGCATCCTCGCCTGCAACTCGTGTGCGACCCGCGATTCGAACCCGCGACCTGTCGTCCTCGCATCCTCGCGTTTCGGTGTGCAACTCGAAACTCGCGGAGTGCGACTCGAACCCGCGACCTCTGATTGTGAAGAGGGCGCGCGCTAACGAAAACGCAAAGCTCCGGAACCATCCAATCGAGCGCGACTTTCCAACCGCGCCGCGCCGCGTAGGGGACCGTAGCTTCGACTCCCAGGGCAGCTGTGGGTGTGTGGTGCGTAAGGTGCTGTGTGGTGCGTAGGTGAGAACGGTAATAATGTGGGGAAGCAGTGGCGAGGACTCAGTTACATTACATCTGTGATGGAGGGTGGCTTAGTAGCAAGCCACAGCCAGCAGTGTCGTAGCAGAAGGCATTCTCGAGGTTCACGTCCGGCATCCAACAGCAACGACCCATAACAGCAAGAGAGGCAGTTGCATACCGCGGGCTGCCATGTAAGAAGTTGCACAATCACACAACTGCAGGCATGTGATAACTTTAATTCGAAGCCTTAGCGTCAAATTTGATTCGCAGATGTGAAAGACAAACATTGCTAGGTTTGCAGTCTCAGCGCGTGGTAACGATCTTGCAGACGTTCTCAAGGCTTGCAATCGTCAGATCCGTGCCCTGCAGCTTTACATGCAGATCTGCTGTGAAAACCGCGTTGACGGCTTCGCAGGCGGAGGTGATGTCATCCACCGTGGTCTTTGCTTTGGGCGGCAGGGTGTTGCGAGGGACTTGGTGTGCGGGTGGCTGCCCGACGGCAGCTTGGTGATGGTGTATGTAACACAGCAAAGGCGTAACCCGGGATGCTCAGATTGGCATTTGCGTCGTTACATTGCCCCCCACTTAGCAATGGACGTCCTCGGCCATTATTTCGAGCACAGGAGCCATCCCACCTCGCGCCAGTGCGCTGGTTTATCCATTACACCATGAAATCGCCAATTTGCGACTTGCTGGTTGCCAGAATCGAACCGCCGACCCGAAGTTTGTTACGGAAGTCGTGCAGTCCCGTCTCGATACCATTGTAACACAGCAAAGGCGTAACCCGGGATGCTCAGATTGGCATTTGCGTCGTTACAGTGTAGGTCATGGCGAGAATGAACAGGCTGCACTCGATTCCATCCAGTTCTGAGCCACGTTGGCGGTAGTGAGTCAGAGCCATCACAGCAGCACCCGGCTGCTCCGGATTGTCATTGTGAAAAACCAGTAGGGTCTCAGCTGCTGCTTCCAAGCTGTTGATGTCATCATGGTCATCCCGGAGCACAATGGCCATGAACAGGCCTGTGCTCAGGAATGTGTTCTTGTACGTGGTCTCGAACGTTTCGTGCCCTGCCAGCTTGAAGGACGCCATGGCCATTCCAATGGTCAGGCTGGCTGTCGTACGGTTTGCCGTGGAGATAAGGTTTCCGATGCCCTTGTGCAGGGTCTCCACCACCAGCAGCTGCAATGTCAAGGAAGTGGTGGCTGATCATGATCACGCGGTTCAGCCGTGTGACTTGGCTCTGCAATGTGGCCTTGGCGACATACTTGGTGGCATGGTGCGTGGTTCGGCGGGCCACAACCTCTGCTTGCACAAGGATGTCCTCCAGGACCTCGGGGTCACACATGGGGACCAGCAGTACAAGCTGTTCCTCCACTGTTGCGGTGTACTGACGGCCGAGCTTGCAGGCCAGCATGAAGACGTTGTTGCAGCCCAGCGCCATTGTGACAGTGGGGCAATGGGGCACAATGTTGGGGCCGTATCGGGGCAGAACGAACAGGCCGCTGTCGCCCACCCACTTGAACTCACGCTGGATGTGGTGTGGGTAGGCCATGCTGCAGTCTCCATCCACGCCTGCACAGCTGAAGCGTTTGCAGGTGTCGCTGTGTGTGTGGGTACAGGATCCCACGACACCCACCACAAGGTGCTGGGTGCAGTGTTCCAAGCACACCTCGGGTGTAAAGGTATCAGTGGCTTCACTCCCGGTCCCACGCGGCTTGCCATGGGCGACAATGGTGAAGTCATACACGGGCGCCGGCATGGATCCATCTGGCTGAGGCGCGCGGATGGCTGGGGGACGGCCAGTTGGGCCCCTCAAACAGGGCCCGCATTTTGTCCACGGTGAACGCTGCCAGGTGCGCCATGCCGTGCAAGTGCAGGGCGAGGCATCCACTCTGCTCCACCTTGATGCAGATGTGGAACACGGTGCCACAGAAGCAGTCGGGGTTGCTCTGCCGCTTGTCGCCAGGTTTGAAACCAAAAAGGAGTTCATGAAGGCGAGCTTAACCGTGTTGAGGAGTGCTTGGCTGGTGTAGGGGTTGTTTCGCACCCGCCGCCACTTGTCCACGACATGCTCCTCCCGCAACGGAGCACCGTCCTCACCAAATTCCAGAAACTCGCGGGATGGCGCCCACCGTGTTGATGTCTTACTGGGAGCTCTTTGCTGTAACCCACGTCTGCGCTTTTGCGTCCTCCATGTTGAGCACGTCCACCATGCGGGCAAGCATGAGTAGGTTGCTGCAGAGCTGCCGCTGTGGCACACGCATGGACACATGCTGGAAGAAGGTCCGGTTGCTCATACCCAGGGGACGGAGGCCGCCCTCAGTGTACGGAAATGCGGTGGGGAAGTTGCTGGCAAGCACGTCTTCCCGGGAGTAGTCCAGGATCTGCAGCAGGGTGGAGGCATAGAGTCGGGAACATGCATTGGGCAGGTCGATTGTGATATGCATATCGGTGAGGAGGCACAAGCCTTATGCGGGTGTGTCACGCACGAGAGTAGCAGCGCATCAGGGAATACATTTCACCCGCCCATTACCAGCTTACCTTAGAAGCACGGCCCCCAGACGCAAAGACCAGCCGGCGCTCCGCTGTCAGCTCACGATGTAGCTCCACCGGGTTTCGTGCATCATCACCTGATCCCGGCACAGGTGTGTCAGGGACAACAAGCACCAGAACTTCGAGCTCCTCGAGACCAGCATCCTCCAGTGTGTTGTCCGCTTGAGCAGACGGGGCAGCAGTGACGGTGGCGACGAGAGCCTCCGGCCTGGGGTCCTGCATGACGGACGGGTGCTGGCGACGGGGACGGCTGCGGCCCCTGTGCGGTCATGGAAGAAGGTGTTGGTGAGGAGCGTGGCGACGTTGGGATCTGTCGGAGCGACAGTGGAGCGGATGATGGACTGCGGCACGTGATACTCTGGGTCCATTGCCTGCCACTCCTGCATCGCTTGGTCATCAATATGCCTCTCGGAGGTGAGGTTGCTGAGGTAGTTGACCCAGGCCACAATATTAGCTGCTCGGACGGACAACACCTTGGTGCTCTTGAGCTTTTCTAGCAGTTCCTCCTTGCTGCTGACGACATCCATGCGGAGGACGGTGATGTTCTCCGGCAACGATGCAGCAGAGCGTGGGATGGCGTCCACCCACTGATCGAGTGATGGGTTCGCCATGGCTATCCCATGCATTGTGATGGCGATGGGCTGCAAGTCAGGCGGCCGGTTCTTGACATTGAGCGTGTAGATCTGCTGCTGCACATGGCCCAGCCCCAGTATGTTGGCTTCCAGCACGGTAGGCCACTCCAAACACTGCCCGTCCTGATTGATTTCCAGCACGTCTCCACCATCATAGCGTGCGAGAGCAGCCTCCGGTATGCGTCCACCTGGATGCGGAGGCAGCAGCCACAGGCAGGGCAGACCAGTCAGAATAACCAGTGCGGTTGCGTGCATTCATGTATGAACACCCAGCACACATGATCGGCAATGAAAGCACCGCATGCAAATTCTCATGTTAGTGTTTAGTGCTTACATTCCAAGGCATGAATGCAGTCATTGCACATCATGATGATGTCGTCGCCAGCCTCGTTGGTGTGCACCGTACAATTCTCCCCAGAGTGCTCCACACACATGCAGTACGGCACTAGCCACACACCCAGAGCAGTGGGATCCGGCCGTGGCTCCATGCCAGGTTGTGGCGGCCATGAAGGGAGCATCCATTCCTCATGCAGGCCGTCCGCATCTTGTGGCCGACGTCTCACACCGATGCCGCCATGGCAGACTAGATGGGCCCACCTCATGCGGCAGAAAGTCTTCTGGGAAGCCGTATGCTCCAGTGTTGCCCAAATGGTCCCGCGCCTGTTGCAACGAACTGCGCTGCTGGGTGGGCTGGCGGTGCTCTTGGTCATCCGAACCACCAGAGTCCCCTGTCGTACCAGGATGCTTGGTGAGCCCCGCCTTCTCCATAGAATGCACATTGAGCCACATCTTTCGGAAGCCCCACGGTAAAGCTGGCTCGGGCGGTGGTGGTGCTCTGCCCCCTGGTGCGGCTGCCACTGGTAGCCATGCGACGACTTGAGCTGGACGCGCCACTGCCAGCGTCCTCCAAACATCTGCATGCAACTGGTGCATGTTGGGGATGTCACCAAACCGGTAGCCGTGTGCCTGTACCGCGGACTTCATCTTGCTGCAGCAGGTGCAGACACACAATGGCATGTTGTTTTTGACAGTGGCATGAAGCTGCTTGGCGACTCGGATCTGTTCCGCTAGAGGAACAGTGGGCAGAGGCTGACCCGCAGGAACATCTTGCACATGTTCCGGCCATGAAGCTGTACTGCTGTCTAACCAGGCACCCATACGAGGCTTGGTGGGGTTTGTCGGCCGCCTGAACACCCAGAAAGCAGCATCCAAAACTGCCTCCACAAGGCTACCCCTGCTGCGGTGGGTGCGTTGTGGTGTGTGCTCCTCAGATGACTGTTGCCGAATCGCACGGGCTTGATGCTTCTGAGCTGCGTCCACTGTTTGGTCTGCCGCCACTTGCTCAGGCGTTCGGTTGGCTCGCACCTCCGCTACCCGAGCTGCATGTGCTGCTCGATGTGTGGCCACTTGCTCAGGCGTTTGGTTGGCTCGCGCCTCTGACCACCGCGCCCACCGAGCAGTAGCTGCTGCTCGGTCCACCGCCACTTGCTCAGGTGTCCGGTTGGCTCGCGCATCTGCCCATCATGCTGCAGCTGCTGCTCGATCCGCCACCACTTGCTCAGGCGTCCGGTTGGCTCGCGCCTGCGCCTTTCTGGTTGCATCCGAACTGGACAGCTGGGGTGTCGGGGGGGAAGGTGTGGCTTGAGTCCGGCCCATCAAGCTCAGAAGCCACGAGCCTCCACCTGCAACTGTACCTAACCGCCAGGAAGCATACGTGTTTAGATGCCCAGCCTGACATGTATCCGTCAGACGGCAAGCAACCAGGAACCCACATGGCGAAGTATAAGCATTGGATGGGGCTGGCGGCCGAGCAAGCAGGCAAGAAGGAGGTGCTCCCGCACATCACAATGTTTATCCCACGTTCGGCGAATCACAAGCTTATGCCGTTTAGGCTTTGCTGTTGGGCACTGGCAGCTAACAGAGCGCGTAAGGGACGGCGTTATATACCTAGGGAGGAGCGAGTATGCCCTTGCTGCGGCACTGATAACCACATCAAGGATGAGAAACACATTTTGCTGGACTGTCCGGTTTACGACGAAATCAGATCTGATATGGGCTTTCCACGCTTCGAACATATGAAGGATGCTATGAAGTGGGAACCTGAACGCCTGGCAAGGATGCTGGAACGTATATATGGTCTCACCGCAACTCTATCATTCCCTTTGGTCGTTAGTATCCTTCATCACTTGTCTCGTTGGAAGTGCGAGGTAGGATGGTGCTTGTAGGCGATTTGGCAGCCCTTGAGCCCTCGGCTCGTACTAGGGTGGTTTGCAGGTACGGGGAACGCACCCACGACCATGTAACAACAACAACAACCTAACCGCCGACATCCTGCGTGATGTCAGGAAGAGGACTACTAGTCTACCGTCCATGCAGGAGATGGAGCAACATCACGGGCATCAGTCCCAACCAGGACTCCTTACCGGAACCAGAATTATCCATAGAAATGGCCGGTCAGACTGATGTCGCGACAGGTTATCCTCCTATCCTCAAGGAATGCAGTTGAGGGCCAATGGAACACAGTACATTACTTCTATACATGTTATACGAGTTATTGTACAATAACTGTGCTGCGCAGCATCGCTGGTTGATAGAATGTATTCTGAATCCGTATGATTCTATAGAATTTCTGCGACTGTATTTTATCCCGGGGAAAGTTGCGGTGTGCGCGACTTCACGTCATTTCGTGGCAGAGCCGTTGCAGTCTAGTTTTCCACTGCAAGTCCTGTCCCACAGTGGAACTACGTGGAACTACCCACAGCCACGCACAGGCGTACCCGGTTAACCTGATATTTTGTGATAAACGTTTAACCTTGCAAGTTATGTCGAACAACACAACTACGCGCGTCTGTTGTTTGTTACCCACCACCGCGCCCAGTCGTCCCCATGGCCTGACGGCCCAGTATCCGTGTGTCCCCGCCCACATGTTCACGGTACACATGCACACGTCCACGCTTCATGCACACACCCATGTTACATCCTCATGTCCCGCGTCCACGCGTCCATGCTACATCCACGTGTGGCTACATCCACAGTGCCACGGTCCCATGCACCCACGTGCCCAAGGGCTCACACGTCCATGTGCCCTTGCATCCTCGCGTCCTCACGTCCTGGTGTCCTCGCATCCTCGCATCCTCGCATCCTCGCGTGCAACTCGCGTGCGACCCGTGATTTGAACCCGCGACCTGTCGTCCTCGCGTCCTCGCGTTTCGGTGTGCAACTCGAAATTCGCGGAGTGCGACTCGAACCCGCGACCTCTGATTGTGAAGAGGGCGCGCGCTAACGAAAAACGCGAAGCTCCGGAGCCATCCAATCTATCGCGACTTTCCACGAGCCCCGGACGCGAGCCGATCACGGACGCGTTTCAGAGATGGCTTCCCTCCGCTTCGCTCTTCGCTGCGCTACGAGAAGCTACGGTGACGAGCCCCGGACGCGAGCCGGTCACGGACGCGATTCAGAGATGCCTTCCCACCGCTTCGCTCTTCGCTGCGCTACGAGAAGCTACGGTGACCTATGGCATAATGTAACAATAATAATGGCCATGATTATCGCCCAACATGCAATAAGGGATGAAAGTGTCGAGGACAGCTAATTATCTTCAGAATTGTGTTATGTTATATATGTGTATGCAGCCCCTATCTAGAGATGTGTAGAGTTTTTGAATCCCTATATGTATTGCCTGTCTGTTCTGAAACCGACTTTGAGCATGTGATTTTGGCGTTGTCTACCATCCCTTCTTTCCTGGAGCCCACTTCAGATATGCTCTGGCACATGTCTTGTACTGTACAAGTTGTACTCTGTTTTGGCTTGGATTCAATGACACCAAGGTTCATCCCATGGATTTGAAGTGTCATCATAATGTGCTGAGTGGGAATTGAGCCTGCGACATCACAACCACCAATCCTCTATCACAATGATAAACTTTTACAACTCCCCCCCTTGGACTTCAATGTTGTCCAGAATGTAACATATACATAAAAGTGAGCACAAGGATGGGGACCACCTCTGGGAGCCAAGGGGGCCCATGGATGGTCAGAAGCCATTACGGTGGTGCTCAGCATGGATCTTGAGATCCTCTAGAGGATCTCCCGCTCCCCTGGGCTCGATGCGCCTGCGTGTGATGTACCCAGTCTGTGATGTCCAAGACCTCCTCGAGAAAACAATTGCAAGCCGCTGCAATAGGTCGGCGACATACACATACACATGGTATGTGCATGTCCAAATGTTTGTGCATGTACATGCACCTAGACACATGTGTTTATGTGTTTATGTGTGTGTGTGCGTGTGTGTGTGTGTGTGTGTGTGTGTCTGCTGGATACATGTATTCTAATCCAACGAGTGTATGGTGCTCCCTACAAATCTCTTAATCATGGAGCTATGGATTTGGTGCTAGCACCTTTGAATGCAAGCTAAGGTCGGTTATGATGGATGGAGAGCTGTACTTGCACTACTGCACTCACAGAGTGCACTAATAAAAAAACCTGGCATATGTAATCCTGTTTGTGGCCAGCCGTGTACACGCATGACGATGGATGACATATGTACACATATACATGCATACACATATGCTGTATTGCACTTTATTTGCAGTCCCTCACTTGTTTGCTTGTCTCCCTGCTGTGTGCGTGTGCCTTTGCATCTATTTGCACAGGACAGAGCACTTTAAAGTTCACTACACCATAGCATTCATTCCTTCCTGCCTGGGTGTTATTGGCATGCAACAATGCACCTAATACCCAGGACATACACCTGGACCTGCAACCAGCACACACGCGCTTCGGGCATGTGGGACAACAAATTCGAAGTAGGTATGGAGGATCGCGCACATGCATGGGGGCGTGCATGCACAAATGAAGGCAGTGAGATGCCTGTGGTTCACCGTAGAATGCTTCAAAACATGCGAGTCACTGCTGCACCAGCCGAGAATCGAACTCGGGTCTGGTCCGTGGCAAGGACCTATGCTACCACTATACCACTGGTGCTCTGTAAGACACGGGAACTGCCCGAGTGAACACCACTGCACACAACTATATCAAGAGTTACACACATGCAGACATACAATGTGCACAGAATCACGTGTTCTATATACCTAGGTATATGGGTATGCCTCTCTGGTGCCCGTAATAGGTTTGTCTGAGGGAGCACCAGTGGTGTCGTGGTTGCATATATGGGTCCTTTGCCGCAGACTAGACTCGAGTTTATCCTCGACTGGTGCACAAAAACATGCATGTTTTGTAGCATTGTACGGTGGGCCGCTGGCTTCTCAGCATTGCCTTGATTATTGGATGTGCTCTATCCACCTAGTTTGTTGTTCCATATGCCTGAAGCACATGTGTGTTGGTAGCAGGTCCAGGTGCATGTCCGAGGTAATGTGTGCTTTGCCACATGCCAATAACACCCAGGCAGGAAGGGATGAATGCTCTGGCATATTGAACT